TTCCGTGCCGATTATTGATGGGCACAGGCATGTACGGTTGAGAGTCCCACAGGAAGCCAAGCAGCTACCTAAGGGCCCACATGCGGGCTGTTCGAGACCACCGCCAAAAGTGAGAGGACACCATGAAGATTGTACTCCAAGTCGGTAAAGAGACCGAGCTACGACATGCATGGGATCTGGTGGTATCGGGGATCGATGCTGAGATCCTTACACGTCGTGATCTAGTTGGGGATGAAGGCAGAGGTTATGCTGGCAGAGCGGGGCCCGCTGCTGCCAAATTTGTTGAAGCTAAACGGGACATCAGGCGCACGCGGCAACAATATGGCCCACGGCGAGAGCATGGATGACGGCAGCGCGATGGGCAAAACATATCATACGTGTCAGAGCCCTGTGGATCAAGATGATAGGTGCATGCAGGAAAGAATATGATTTAGATGGCGCAGGACTCAGATTACCAGACTACACTTCACCATGGACGTCTGCGACGACGAAGAACGCTTTGGAAGCAGGATGGAGCGAGGCACGCAGGCACAGGAAAGACAAGCGCACGATGGAAGATTACGATGACGAGCGGCGCCCAGCGAGACGGCTTTCGCAGTCAATGCAGCAGTTTTGGGGTTTCTATCAGCGTATATTGATGCAGCAGGATCTTTGGCTCTTTCTGGACTTAGGAGCACGAGCTTTCTTCCAGGTTGGAGTTGCTTCCTTCGCTGATGTTGAGTTTGAGAACAAGGCTTTCCGCATCATCGGACGTGCATATGATTTTGCACAGAGGGGCCAACAACGATGCGAGCAGGAATTAGCGAGCTGGGCCAGAACTGCTTTTTTGAACGGCGGCGGCGAGGCGCGCACAGCGTGCAAGACTCAGGCGCTGGCGGCCACCATCTTTTGCGCAACTTGCACGCAACCTTTTCAGCTGGCCGACGACGAGATGTGGAGGTGGAGGGAGGTCTGGACTTGTAACGATACGAAATGCATCTAGCTTCCTCAGGGAGCTGAGGGATGGGACGAGTTGCCCTTCATGCAGGTCCAGGACATCAGGGATGCAGCGTTGTCCTTTCCATGGAAGACCCCAGTGGGCTACGCGGGGATCCACCCCCGCATTTTTTGGGCGCGTCTCGGACGAGGGCCTGGCAGTCGTGGGAGCGCTTTACATGGCATGTGCACATATGCTGATATGGCCATCGCATCGCAAAATGAATGACATGGTAAGAGTAGCAAAGCCTGACGGGGGGGGCCGGATCATCACTCTCATTGAAAAGTATGGTTAGAGTATGGTCAAGAGTACGTAGGCCCTTATCACATAAGTGGTTGCCGGCATATCCCAGCCCACACACATTGGGGAATCGTCGAGGAGATTCGTCAACATATGCAGCATATGAGCACAACCTGCAGGCTGAAGTTGCGCATCACTTGGGAGAGCATGTCATCGCCATTGTGGTGGATATGTGGAAATGTTTTGAGGCGGTGCTTTTTTTCCAGCGCTCATGACGGAAGCGCACAATATGTCGTTTCCCCTGCGGCTGATATGGCTGCTGCTGGAGACGTGCGCGCAGCCTAAAGCCATTCGTGCATTTGGGTGTTGGAGCATTCCAACTTGGGCGCTGCAGGGCATACTTGCAGGATGCACTCTCGCCGCGACACTGTTGACGGTGCTGTCGTACCGCGCGATAGAGCGAGCGCACAACATGTACAAGGATGTCATGCCACGTGCGCTTGTAGACGACAGCACCGTCCAGTGGACGGGTAACGACATGACAGAAGCAGCCAATTTGCAGCGCGCGGTGCACATGTTCAGCCAGGACGCTGGCGAGTTAGGCGTGCCCATTAAGTTCGAGAAGTCAGGTTTCGTGACGAATGCGAAGAGAGCGTTGAGGGGATTCCAATGCAGAGCTCAGAAGTTGCGCTTGTCGGCCAAAAAATGGATAAGAGACCTCGGACATGAGATGCCAGGGGTCCGTCTAGTTCGGAAGCAGGCGCAGGCCAGGATGAAGTCTCTTCGTGCTCGTCTCCCTCGCCTTTCACATGCTGCGACGAGGAGCGGGTGTACAGGTCGCCGCTCTTTGGCGCACTGGACTGCTCCCAGCTGCTGGCCACGGCGCTGCAGTTTCAGGGGCGACCCCTTCGGAGTTGGCCAGCTTACGAAGTATTGCTGGCACGCCCTGTGGACGTAGCTCTGGGCAGAACTCACTGACCCTGGTGCTGGCTACCCAGAAGCATAGGATGTATGACCCCATATTTCATGCCACGCTGGCGCCCCTGAAGGCCTACTGCAGCTTCGTCTGGGACCAGAGGGTGCCACTGGGAAGGCTACAAAAGGGGCTGGATGGCCCTGCAGGAAAAACTCAAGAATAAGATGTCGTGGGGTGGGTTCCGAGGGCCCATGGAATCACTTACGCTCGCGCTTGCACATATAGGATGGAGCAGGAGCTCCAGCACGACCACTGTGGATGCCCAGGGCTACTCATACGACCTTCTGCGCCTGCCGCCCAGGACCGACATCGAGTGTGCACGCCAAGGTGTGGGGCGCTGGCAGGCCAGGCAGATCCTTGCCCACCATCGAGACATTTGCTATGGACACGAGTGCACTTGGATGCGTGCGCTTCGCATGTGCACTGGCGGGGCCAAGGCTGCCATGAGAAGTGCAAGCTTTCCGGGAGCCCTCTGGACGCTTTGGTCAGGAGGCTTCTTGGCTCGAGACAGGCAGCGCCAGGCAGGACAGAACATTTCGGCGACATGCCTCTGGTGCCCTGCTGAACGGTCGTCCCTTGGACACTCTACATGCGATTGCAATTCATCATATGAAGATTGTCATGACGCTGGGTTGATCTGGAATCCCAAGCTAAATGCATGTTATGAGTACCTCAGGGACCGTGGTGCACATGCTCTGGGACCTCCTGATTGGGACAGGTTTGATTGTGCCATGTGTATGCCGATGTACCCTGCGGTGCCTCCCAAGGTCTCCTACGGACTCGAGGTCCACTACTGGGGCGACTGGGAGTCTGATCAGCAAAATTGGACCTCCGAGGTCTACACGGACGGGTCGGGGCTCGCTCCAGGACTTCTTGAGATCACCAGATGTGGACGGGGATTCGTTTGTCTGGGAGATAATGGGCTTCCTGTCAGAGGCGCGCATGGCCCCCTAGAAAGGCCATGGCAGACGGTAGGATGGGCTGAAAGAGCTGCCCGCTGCTTTGCTTTGAAGCTGCTACGCGATGTCAGGCTTGTCGCGTCAGACCTGTCCAACCTCGTCAGAGAAGGCACGGGCTGGAGCTTCGCCCAGCAGGAAGCGGACGCCTCGCGCGTTGTCTTGCGGAGGCATTTTTCCGATGATGAGGAATATGAATAAGATCCCTCCCAAGTTTTACTGGTGTCCTGCTCACAAGACGGCGCAGCAGTTTATCGAGCAGGGCCAGCACCCTTGGGAGTACTTTCTCGGCAACGCATGGGCAGACATATTTGCTAAATGGGGTGCGTGTTGCCATGGTCCGTCCGAGACGTTGGAGTTATCACTCGAGTACGCCATTCGCGACGCTAATATGCAGGCCAGGATGATGTCGTGGGTTGTATGCAAGATGGCGTATCGAGACTCCCTCACTGAGCGGCAAAGTAGATTAGTGACAGCCCCTGCCCCTGTGAGGCCTATAGGGCTCACGGCCCACGAAATGGTGGTTCGCGAGCCTGGGGTTTTCCAATGCAAGTCCTGCTTGGGAGTGGCTAGGACCAAAGCGAGTCTTAGCAGGATCCTCGGGACTTCGTGTGAGCCCACGGCCCAGCAGAGGCTGCGAGCTAGTATGACACCTGAGCTGCACCGCGCGCCACCGATGCAGTCGGAGGCCGTGCGTGTGGCCTTTGAGGCTTCTTGTAAGGATGATCCTGAAGGTTCCGTCGGCGCGAATCCGTCTGTGCCGCCCGCTGAAGCTATCGTCGAGCTCGATGGGCACCAGGTGCTGGTGACCCAAAGGTGCATGGTCTGCACCTCCTGCGGCTCCTCTCAAGTGTCCACGGGGAAAGTTGCGAATTGTAGACTTAGCTCGACGCCCTGCGTGGGCCTTTCCCAGCACGGACCCACCCGATCCAGGCAAAAGTATATCATCTCAGCCACTATGGCTGGGAAGGATCCTAAAACGGGTAGGGTCCTGACATAATTTTCTAATGGGTAGGCCCGTGCTCCTGTCAGTCAGTTGCACGACTGGTCGGCCGTGTCTCCTCCTCCTCCTCCTCCTCCTCCTCCTCCTCCTCCTCATCCCTTCTGGGCCTCCTGGGGGGGCCCTCGCCGCCACGGCTGGAGTCGCCTCGCAATTCTGGTCGGAACGCACCCCAGGAGAGGTCCAGGGAGTAGCGGTATGGGCACCTCTGGTTTCCCTCGGGAGCCTTGAGACGGGGGTCTATGCAAACGGGGGTCAGCCAGGGCACCAGATCCTGCAGGATCCTGCGAAGACCCCCTCTGGCTGACCCGGGTTAGCGAGCCGCTCGCGGCCGCGAGGCGGCCGCGCATATTGGCTGACCCGGGTTTGCGAAGACCTGCGTTGCAGTTTTTGTTCCTGCATTGCAGTTTTTGGTTTCCTGCTGACCCGGGTCTGGATTGACCCAGGTCAGAAGATCCCCGATTCCCCAGTGTGGGGGGCTTGCCAGGACGCTGCCCTGAGGCGCTCGAAAGTACCTCCCAGGACATCTCCCTGCTCGTGCTCCTATACGCACACTCATGACCATTCCCGTCATGTCTGGCCTCCCCTCGCCATCCTCGTTCTACCGTGCCTCCTCATTCCGGGCGGGGCTAGGACGAGGATACATGTCTTCCAGAGCGTCCCGGAACACTCTCACAGCGTTCCGGGGCGCTCTGAGGCCGCGGCGCCCGAGACATCCTCCAGAGCCGCCCGATCTCAGAGATTCTCGAGGTATCCTCACCTGATTGTATCCTCGTCCTGGCGTCGCCTCATCATCCATGTTTCCCTCGTGCTGCTCCTCATCCTCCTGTGGGCTCTACCCCGCCCCGTGAGGTGAACTCCCTGCGCGGCGCCCTCAGGAGCGACCCCCTGATCGGGGAGGCAACGCTGAGACTCGGCAGCGCAGAGGCCTCTCGGGCGGAGGAGGAGGAGGAGGAGGAGGAGGAGGAGGAGGAGGAGGAGGAGGAAGAGGAGGAGCAGGAGGAGGAGGAGGAGGAGGAGGAGGAGGAGGAGGAGCGGCAACGACGGCGACGAGCAGGAAAAGGATGAGGAGGGAGGCGGGAGGAGGAGAAGGAGGAGGAGGCGGCGGCGGCTGCGGACAATGGAATGCCCTGGAGGAGGAGGAGGAGGAGGAGGAGGAGTGAGGAGAGGAGGAGGAGAGGAGGGTGGAGGAGGAGGAGGAGGAGGCGGAGGAAGGAGGAGGAGGAGGGAGGAGGATGGAGGAGGAGGAGCAGGAGAGCAGGAGGAGCAGGAGGAGCAGGAGGGGAGGAGGGAGGAGGAGGAGGAGGAGGATTGGGAGGGGGAAGGGGGAGGAGGGGGAGGGGGAGGGAGGAGGAGGAAGGAGGAGGAGGAGGAGGAGGAGGAGGAGGAGTAGCAGGAGGAGCAGGAGGAGGAGGAGGAGGAGGAGGAGGAGGAGGAGGAGCAGGAGGAGCAGGAGGAGGGGGAGGAGGAGGAGGAGGAGGAGCAGGAGGAGCAGGAGGAGCAGGAGGAGGAGGAGGAGAAAGAGGAGGAGGAGGAGGGAGGAGGAGGGAGGTTGGCTGGTTGGTCGTTGACCTCCCAGCGACGTGGCATATTGGGACTGCGGGCTCAGCCCCTTTAGTGGAGAGCTGCGGGGCCCAACCGGCGACCGACAGCGATCCCGCAACGTCAGCCCACTGGGGCCCAGGGATGGATGAGGCCACTCTCGGGATGCAGCCCTGGGAGAGAGGGGGAGGGTACGAGGACTGGCGTGCCACCGTGCCCAACCTCCCTCAGCTCACAGGCCCCCTCCAGGGAGGTGCCACGCCCAAAGCCGGAAGGCAAACGCTAGATGTGGGTTTTCCTGGGGAGGGGGCATCAGCGGCCTCCGGCAGGGATCCTCGCCCGGTCTCGACTCCATCCTACGCCAACGTACGACGTAGGTACGAGGCTAGCCGGATGAAGGGAGAGAGGAACAGAACCGCAGGGGATAGAGTTTTTCTGGAAGAGGGTCGCTTCTTGCTCCAGGAAGTCTCCTAGCGACGCTGCCCAGGAGAAGCCTGCATCCCCTGGCGACGTACACAGCAGGACGCGGGCGCATGCCTGCCTAGATTGGGGATGCGGTCTCCTTCGGGCCCGCCAGAAGGCAGCGCGCAACTGTTCTGTGACCCCGCAGGCGCTTAAGACATGGAAGGTCGAGCTGTGGACGGCACGCAAGCTGATGATGCAACATTTCTCCTTAGACCACGACTGGCGCCCCTCAGTGTGAGTGAGCAGGATGAGGCGGCACCGAAGCCGTGACAGAGGACGTTGACCCCGTGAGTCTTTCCATGGCAACGACAACTCCATGGCTCCGCTGAGGCCCCCCCGCGGGACGGAGCCCAGCAGAAACAGAGGGAAAGGCCGCGCGTGTTCATGTAGGCTCTGGAAGCCTCTTGCGACAGCGGGCCACCGCCAGCGACCGGACGCACTCCTTGTACGGCACCAGGGTGCCTGCCCCTGCCGACGCACACCACCCCGGCCAGTCTGGCAGACCCCAGGAATCGAGAAGAGCCACGGAGGATCTTGCCCAGGTTTCGCCTGCGGCAACAGGTCCTCTGACGAAGACTACTTTGTGCAGATCTTCGTCGGGGAGGAGCCATAGCGCTGAACGTCGGGATGCTACGTCAAGGACTGCCCTGCCCGAACCGGAGAGCACCCAGCCCAGCTCCGCGCAGGCAGGAGAGGCAGGACGCCAAGAGGTGTTGCCGAGCAGCGCCCTCGCCCTAGTGCACTAGCGTTTCTCTCCTTCTCCCTCCGCCGCGGCTCGCCTTGCCAACCACTGGTGCTCCAAGCCTGGCGCATGCTCGCGACGCGAGCTAGAGGGTTACGCCCCTCTGCGACGGGATTTGTTCGAGGGGTCCACGGCTGATTCTTCTGTTTGAATACTTACGTGCCAGGTCATTGGGCTGCGTGACTCATCCCAGACGTCGATGTGCGTATGTGTGTGTCCTCCTTCTCCTCCCCCTCCCATTTCCCTCCTCTCCCCTCTGGAGGTCAGCGGCGAGACCCGGCAGCACAGGCTGCAGCTGCTGGCGCGGAGGGGCCATCCGCAGGGGTACCTGGAGCTCACCGTGCTGGTGCACTTCCGCGAGGACGCGCCCCCCCCCCCCCCCCCCGCGCGCCGCGCCCCGCTGCGGCCAAGACGCCGAGACGAAGGCCGCGTTCGGCTCGGGCGGGGGCGGGGGCTTCGGGCCGCTCCCGCGGCCGTTCGTTCCCCGTTTTGTTGTCGGGCGCGAGCACGCAACCGTTTTGTTGTTGCTTTCGCGCACGACGTTTTGAAACGAAACGAGTAGATTTGAGGAGTTCGCCGTGTTTTCGTTTTTTTTCCACCGTT